CAAGACATCAGCTGAAAGATACACCTAACAAGACAGCAGCTGAAAGATACACCTAACAAGACAGCAGCTGAAAGATACACCTAACAAGACAGCAGCTGAAAGATCCACCTAACAAGACAGCAGCTGAAAGTTACATCTAACAAGACAGCAGCTGAAATATACCCTTAGCAAGACAGTAGCTGAAAGATACCCTTAGCAAGACAGCAGCTGAAAGATACCCTTAGCAAGACAGCAGCTAAAAGATACACCTAACAAGACAGCAGCTAAAAGATAAACCTAACAAGACAGTAGCTGAAATATACCCTTAGCAAGACAGTAGCTGAAAGATACCCTTAGCAAGACAGCAGCTGAAAGATACCCCTAACAAGGCAGCAGCTAAAAGATACACCTAACAAGACAGCAGCTAAACGATACACCTAACAAGACAGCAGCTGAAAGATACCCTTAGCAAGACAGTAGCTGAAAGATACCCTTAGCAAGACAGCAGCTAAAAGATACACCTAACAAGACAGCAGCTAAACGATACACCTAACAAGGCAGCAGCTAAAAGATACACCTAACAAGACAGCAGCTGAAAGATACACCTAACAAGACAGCAGCTGAAAGATACACCTAACAAGACAGCAGCTAAACGATACACCTAACAAGACAGTAGCTAAAAGATACACCTAACAAGACAGTAGCTAAAAGATACACCTAACAAGACAGCAGCTAAAAGATACACCTAACAAGACAACAGCTGAAAGATACAGCTAACAAGACAACAGCTGAAAGATACACCTAACAAGACAGCAGCTAAAAGATAAATGTAGCTATTGAAAACTGAAGAAAATCTGGATTCAGGTCAAATCAGAAACAGTTTTGAAAGAACTGAAGAAATATATATTTTTACAAAGATAATGTTTGTAAAAGAGTTATTAAAAAATATAACAATTGGTACAGCCAAACAATGAGCCGAACATTTGAATATATTAGTGGCTGAAACAGCTCAATCTTTGATGAACTCTTTTGCTTAAAAACACGCAGAAGAAACTAAAAGGAGGGAAACAGTGAGACTGGACCTCAGATCTGTGATTTGTTCTGATCCAAATAACTCAGAGTGAATGTTTGGCTGCTGGGCCCGGCCCCGTTTCTGCCAGCTGGAGAGGGGTTCTGTTCAGGGACTGAGAAAGAGGTCTTCATGACAGAGGAGGCCTTGTTCTGTTTTCACCAGCAGCCTGCAGAGGACCCAACAAACCGAACCGAACTTGAGTAAACCCAACAAACAGAACCTCTGTAACCCAACAACCAATCAGAATATCTCCAACAAACTTTGCCTGTTTGAGCCACCAAATCTGCTAAAAGATCATTTTGGTAAAAAAAAAAAAAAACTGCAGAATTTGTGCAGGAAATGAAAAACTTCAGAGCAGCTCCAACATCCATCCATCAAATCAGGACTTCCTTTGTAAAAACCATAGTTGAGCAAACTCCAGGAAAGTCCAGTTTGAACCTCTTCCTGTTTCCTCCTGAACATCAAACAGCTTCAGTCTGAGTGAAAACTGAGTCTTGAGCATCAGAAGGTTCTAATGGTAACACAGGTTCTGTTCGATGGTTCTACTGGGTTTTATTTTGTAGAACATCAAACAGGTTCATCAACAAACCTTCAGCCTGTGACCTTTGACCTCCAGCCTGGAGCGGGAAGTTCACAAGAATTTAAAATATTCAAATGCAATTTATTTATTTATTTGTTTGTTTTTTTGTTGAAATTTTCTGGGGTTTTTTTTATGAAAACATTGAATTTTTTTTTAATGTTTCATGACTTTGATCAAATATCTTCTCAGGAATAAAAACATTATTTTCAGTTTATAAACATTAAAGAATGAATTTTATTAAAAACAAACTGATTTATTATAAAAACAAAAAGTAAAAACTGATCTGTGACAAACATTAAAACCTTTTTATACCATAAGTACAGAGCTGAGCAGGGCTCAGATAGACCCAGGTGGGCTCAGGTAGACCCAGGTGGGCTCAGGTAGACCCAGGTGGGCTCAGGTAGACCCAGGTGGGCTCAGGTAGACCCAGGTGGGCTCAGGTAGACCCAGGTGATCATTAATCATTAAAAAAGTGGTTGAATTCTTGATGCTGCCCTCTACAGGTCATCAGAGAAACTGCAGTGCTGAGGTTCATCTCGATGCTTCAGAGTTTAAGTGGTTCTGGTCCAGATTTGGTCCCACAGAGTTCAGAAGAATCCTGGAAGTTTTGAGATGAAAACAGAACCCTTGGTTCTGCAGTAGAACATCAGGGGGATCAGGTAGTTCCTCAGGTCCATGTGTGGTTTATAAAAAAACTGTGAAAAGTTTAAAAAATGTTTCTAGTCTCTTTAAGCGGTTCTGGTTACAGAACCCAACCCAGGATCCAAACCAGCCCCAGTAAAACCAGTGGAGCGGTCAGAACTTTCAGTCCAGAGGCCGAGTTGAAGACCTTGATGCGTCCTTCAATATAAGGATAAACTATCAGTTTCCGTGAGATGTATTCAGACACCACGGAAATGTCCAAATCTCCTGCAAGGAAAACACATCAGTCAATGAAACCAGAACTATCTAGAAGTCTGAGTCTTGTAATAAAACCAGAACCATTCAGAACCCTCTAGAAGTCTCACCACTGTTGTGTTTCTTGAGCTGGTCTCGGATCATGCTGAACCCGTCTCCGCCCGTCACCAGGTAGGACGGCATGACCACCGTGTAGACCGTCCCGTCTCTGACCGGCTCAAAGTCTGGAACCCGACAGTGTGTGCAGAGGATTCTGAGACTTTTCACCCGATGTCCTGCAGGTTTGGACACGTCATACTCCACCCGAAACCCTGTTGGACGAGACAGAAACACCAGAGTCCAAACCTGAGTCCATTCAGCAGATCTTCAAACTCATAACAATGTTGTCTAAATGTCCTGATGCATCTCAGTAATCCAGGTAAAAAATCAAAGGAAAAAAAATTGTATAGGTCTTCTGGACGGGTTCTTCTTTAATGAAACGTTTCGTCTCTCTTCCAAGAGACTTCTTCAGTCTGAGAGTTTCAGGCAAAATTCAGGCTTTTATGTCCTGCCTCCAGGTGACTGATACTCACATCACATGACCATCGTTCACAGGTGACTCCCACTCACATCACCTGGCTGAAAACGGAGGCCCCCACCTCTAGGT